AGTATGCTGATGATACCCAGCTCTACCTCTCGTTTTCCACCAATCCAGGTGAGGCAGTGGCTGTACTGAACTGGTGCCTGGCCGAGGTAATGGGCTGGATGAGGGCCAATAAACTGAAGCTCAATCCAGACAAGACGGAGGTCCTGTTGGTTGGCGGTTCGGGCTTCGGAGAAGGTGACCTGAACCTTGTCCTGAATGGGGTTGCACTCCCTCCTAGGGACAAGGTCCGCAGCTTGGGAGTGCTCCTCGACCCGGAGCTTTCACTTGAAGCTCAGGTGACAACAGCGGCGAGGAGCGCTTTCCTCCAGCTTCGGCTGATTCATCAGCTGCGCCCCTACCTGGAGTACGACTGCCTTGCAACAGTGACTCATGCGCTGGTGACTTCCCGTCTTGACTTCTGTAACGCGCTCTACGTGGGGCTACCCTTGAAGACGGTCCGGATACTTCAATTGGTTCAGAATAGAGCTGCCAGGCTGCTGACGGGGACTGGACGTTATGTTCACATGACGCCAGTTCTCCGTCAGCTTCACTGGCTCCCCATTGAAGTCCGGGCCCAATTCAAGGTGTTGGTAATGACCTATAAAGCCCTAAACGGCTTGGGTCCTGGTTACCTGAAGGAGCGCTTACATCCATATTTGCCCAGTCGCCCCCTGAGATCGGCGGGAGAGGCCCTTCTCCGGGAGCCCTCCGTGAGAGAAATTAGGAGGGTGGCTACTCGGAGAGGGGCTTTCTCAGCGGTGGCGCCTAAGTTATGGAATGCGCTCCCCAGAGAGGTCCGCCTGGCGCCGTCGTTATTTGTTTTTCGGCGCCAGGCTAAGACCTTTTTATTTAAGCAACATTTTAAATGCTAAATACAATTGAATTTTATCTGGCCAGGGCGGCTTATTTTATAATGTGTGTTTTAATTAAGATTATTTTATATGGATTTTAACTTGTTTTATCTATGTTGTAAGCTGCCCCGAGGCTTCGGCGAATGGGGCGGCATAAAAATGTTTTAATAAATAAATAAAAATAAAATAATTAAAAGATCTTTTGGGGGATAATTGCTGTTAATTATTCTGCTAAGTTAAGAAGAAAGGCTCACATCTCTTTTGCTGCATATAATTTCTCAGAGTACAATAGAGTTGGTTGGTGAGACTAGTTTGGAAAACTAGGCAATGCTTTCATAAATAATGACTTCAGAACCTGCTTGAACATATGCCATTCATTTCTGCAACATCCAGATCCTAATGAGTTCTCCATTCTCAGTTAGTTGTAAGAGGAATAGAGATACACCTAAAGGACTCTACTCTCATTGTGGCAGGAGCTGATGCCACCCAGCTGAAGTAAAAACTAACAAGCAGCTTGTTCATGATGAGTCACTGGCTGGGGGGAGTGGAGAAGGTGCCCTTCTTCAACTAGAATTGGTTGAAATCTGCAGCAACCATTGTCCTTTCTGAGAGGATCAACTTGTGAGGGAAAAGCAACTACAGGACTAGAAGGTAAAATAAGTAATTTTCTTGCAAACATTGTTTTCTTTCCTGCAAGTTTTTAATCCAGAATGCTATATTCCACTATCATCTCTGGTTTTGTTTTGCAAGGAGTTGCTTTTCTTTACGTTTTAGGTTGCAGTACCACCTAAAGGCTTTGTGACTTATTGGATCACAAAGTCACAAAACAGGCTAAACTAAGAACAATCCCCGAAAGAGTCTTGGAAATGATATATTTTATATGCATGCTTTAAACTTTAACGTTTAAAGGGTAATGGTGCCATGTAGATAATAATGCAATCCAACAATAATGACAAAATTCCATAAGTCCCATTGTAGAGTTTAAGCCAAAAGCTGCTTTGTGCCCAAAGTACAAGCAATTTTCTGCTCTCTTATGAAAATAAATTGGAGCACATTTGCAGTATGGTCATGGAGCATCACACTGGAGGCACTTTTGAATTGTACAATACTAGTATTTGCATTATTGTATTATTCCCCACAGAAAACTGAAGGCCTGTGTAGCTCTTGTACTCCTTGAATAATGAGCAAGAAAGGGATAGAAGTGTTCACAGGACTGCAGCTTCCTTATACTTTACCTCCAGAACCCCTCGGGGCTTAGATGACAAAGCTTGTCATGACAAAGCTCATCATGACAAAGCATCCTCCCTAGCAGAGCCCTATAGCAAAGCCCAGCACAGGCAGGGACCCAAGTGTACCAACACTTCCAAAGAATAGCCAGAAGCTGCCTGCCCCCCCCCCCCCCCCCCCCAATCACACACTGTCCACATGAGGAGTCTGCAAGTGCCTCTTTCAGGACTCCCAGGCTGGCCCCTTATCACCACCAGGGCCTCAGAAGCTATGGCAGCTCTAAGCCTTTGCTGTGCAGTGGCCATTTGGCAGCCTCAGGTCTTCCCTCCATATGGTTTACCTGAAAGAAAGCAAGCATCGCCTGTGCTCTGAATCAGGTCCTGCAAAAATTCAGGAAAAGGAGGAGCCAGCAAATGCACTATTTTTTTTAGCCCATTTCCAAACTTTGTAGTGGTTGCTTAGATTCTGCTGGACAATTGGTCAACCTGTTGGTCTATGCCACTGTCCTGTTCTTGCTACCCATTTCCTGCTGGACACTTCCTGGCTGGTCCAAGCAGACCGGTGCCTTTCTTCTTGTTACTTCTGACTTCCTTTACTGTTTAGGGCTGTAGGAAATGGTTCTGGAGATCTGTCCTTGAGTGGGCTGTAACATACTGAATTGTGCCCATTTTATTTTAATGGAAATGTTATTGCATTGGGTTTCATATATTCTTAGCCACATTACAGATGTTAGAAGAATGTTCCCACCCAACTCCCTCATATAACGCTGCCTATCGTAAGATGTAATTGTAACATCCCTAAACTGCAATCCTAAGTGAGTTTAGAAAGCCTAGCATGACAGAGACAAGCTAGATGTTTTTCAGTCTAAACTTGCTTAAGATTCTGCCCTAAATATTTTAATGGGAAAAATGACTAATCTCAACCTTCTTTGCATGTAGTGTAACTTTTGTACACCTTTTGTCTTAAATGTTTGGCACTGATAATCATATCCCTTAGTTTTTATTGTGCAAACTTTAGACATACTCATTTTAGTAGGAATGACCTTCTATATTTGCCGTCGTTAAATCACTGCTCCTAATCATGGCTGATCCCACTGATCCCCTCCCCTGGCTAAGGATATCCTTCATGTTTCCCCACACACTGTTCAAGAGGGTCCCCAACCCTCAGAAACAGTTTCTGGGGGCCCAAAATGCTGCATGGTGAAGAGGGTAGCAAAGGTAATGGTCAAATGTTGAATACTGCCCATGGTTCTTTGGATCCAATCCAATATTTTGTATTAAACATTTATGATTGGTTTAAAAACCAAACTGTTTTCTGCCAAGACATTTTACATAGCACAATCTCTTCTCAAATAGGCTCTTTTGCACAAAACTAGCTGACTCAGATGACCATGCTCCACCATGCTGGCACCCAGAACAGCCTGACTTGCCCTAGAGACTGTTCACAAATGTCTCCTACGTTTTCAGTGCAGTCACATCCCTAAAGTGTGGCAGTTTAATCTTCAGTGACTGTCAAATTACCCTGCAAGTTGTAAGTGGAACATCATGGTTAATCTCTTACTTACTTGCAAGCTATTTCCTTCAACAGACTTTCCTTTCTTACATGTGGCATAACACCACGACATAGCCAAAGTAAGTCATGGGTAGGTCTTAAATATTTCAGACACAAAGTACAGTTTATCTAAACCAGGAATAACTGCAAGGTTTCTTTTCCTTTCAGCAGGATGAGCTCAGGTCCTCCCTTATCACCATTTTTATGCTAATTTAACCATCAGTTTTGGTCCTTCCCCATACTTCTGAGCACATTCTATTATTATTGTTTTAAGGTTTGTTTGCAGTTCTGTACAATCCCAGGTTTGTTCTGTGCCTGGTAATGTTGTTGTTGTTTTTAATTAAACTTTTCTTGCTGGAATTATTTTAAAAATGCTTTGAGGGCACTGCTGACATGTAGCATTCAGGGAAAAGGCACAGCATTGTTAGGAGCTGGGTTATCCACCTTCTTTCTCTCAGACCACAGGCAGTTCTTTGGCAAAAGCACTTTATTTCCAATGCACATCCAACAAGTTATTGGCAAACAAAGGAAGAGCATGCACAGAGCAGTTCGTTGAACCCAAACTAGAGACTATTTCTGAGAACCCTCCTTTCCAGGAACCCTGGCCCCTACTCCTTCGGGTGTGCCCCTCAGAAGAAGGACTAGCCTCCTAGACATACAAGGGCCCTCTAGTTGGTCAAGAATCAGACCAGGCTGCTCTCCAATGTCCCCTTCCAGCACTTTCAGACCCCCCGGGTTCCTAGAACCCTGAACACCTGGAGACAGCAGCCTTGAGGTAAGCGCTTCCCCCTCTGCCTCTCTGTGTCTGCAGACCTCTCTTCCCAGGCCTCCCTGTCCTCATCCAAAGAGTAGGTGCCACCCTGGCCCTGGGAAGCATGCCAAGAACACCTGCCTCTTTAATTCCCAATAAGTAAAGTGGCAGAGAACACTGTGCATACTGTGTGTGCAAAGGGCCACTGGATCAGTCCCTGGCAGCTCCAGGAAGACTCTTGTCTAGTCACTAGTCACTGCAGTCTGTCACACTGAGTTAGTTAACCCAAGGTCCAGGCTTGGGATAAGGCAGCTCCCAAGTGGGCACTGCTTTTCATGTCAAGAGATTCCATAGCCATGGGGAGCAGTGGAGTTCCATTTCTGCCTCCCCACTGCTTCTGGTGGACAGGTAGGTGGTACACCAGGGCATGGTGGAAAGGGGAGGTGTGCACTCACCCCTCTTGTCACCACCAATCCTTCCCTGTCCGTGTTGCACAAGTAGGCACTCCAGGTCATGAGTCATTAATGTGCCATGGAGCAGCAAGCTGGGTGGTGGCAAACAGCCAGAAATTCTCCAGCGTGCTGTCTGCAAGCACAGAAAGGGCACAGAGCGGGAAGGAAAGGGGCAGAATCAAAACTTACATGGGTGGTGGTACAGGTGGCACTGTGCCCTTGCCAGGACAGCTCATCATCGGAAGATTCTCCATGGTCATGCTCAGTCCTTTCTAAGTCCTCCCGGCAATGTGTCAAAGTCCACCTTGAATCTTGAAGTTTGCCATTCAGTGTTTCTGAAGCAGGGAGACTGTCATGACAGATTACAACAGCATTTCAATAGGTTGTTTTCTCCTGTGTTGAGTTTGCTCTATTTTAATTTAATTTCTTCTGGTCTTTCATTATGAAATGGAATAACAAAGAATTAGTCTCCTTGTCAAGATGCAGTAATTCATTTTATATTCATTATTCCTAGCTACTAATATCTTGAAATACATTTTCTGCTGTGACCCTGAGTACATTTGTGCTGAAGTGCTTTGCTATCTTAGGAACTGCAATGGCCTAAACCAGCAAAGAAACCGATGAGAAAGACTGGGCCGGGGGTGGGCAGGGAGATCTTTTCACCACCAGAAAGTACATCTCTATATACATAAACATGACCAAATGATGAGTGCCTTTTAAAAATGCAAAGTTCTCCAGGTGTTCCAAATCCCTGTCCCATTTTTTGCAGCTGTGCGACCTTTAGCTGAATAGGTATGTGGGCCAATATTGCAGTCATCTGTTTAATGACTTGCCATTAGAGGCAGAATTCCTGCTTTCTGCTGAACACCAGAACCTTATCAAATAAAGAGAGATTTTCAAGTCAAGGTATGAGAGGCACCACCCACAGTAGCAGGACTGCTGGTAACCAGTCTCTTTATTCATTGCTCATCATGAAGTGGCTCTTGCTCCTATCTTGTTGCCGCTGCCAGGCTTTTGGCACTGCAGCTAAATTTTTCCTGTGTCCAACAGACAGTCAAAGTTAGCAGAGGGTCGTGTGCCTCTTCCTTCTCTGTCCTTTTACCAGTACACACACTACACCAGGGGAGCACTGAGGGGAACTAAATTGACAGCTGCTGAAAGTGTCCATCTGGCACTTGGTGGGGGTGTCATCTAATTAGCTAGGGGAGCAGGGCAGGGGAGCCGGAGGGGAGGAGAATGTGGTGGGGCAGGAGGGAGGGTGAGGCCCAGTCAAACACACCCCTGGAAGGCCTGGTCACATATACTCCTGCTGCTGCAATCTTCTCTCCTAGGTTGGTGTGGCAGAAAGAGTTGCCACACCAAGAAGGGCTGGGGAAGAGCCAGTATCTGCCAAAAGCCCCTTCTGAACCCTCCCAAAGGAGGTGCAGGGAAGTCACTGGTGGCAGCACCGCCCACACCACAAGCCTAAGCCATCTGAAGCCGCGCAATTGTTCTGGCCAGCAGTGGGGACAGGAGGCAGGTTTCCGTGTGCCTCGGGTCCCGTTACTCACCCTCATGCCACCGGCAAGCATTATTGTGGGGGGAGGCAGGGGGTGCCAAGCTCAAGGAAGGCTGGCGGAGTAGCTTGTTCTTGCTGCCACCCCACAGCCTTTTCAGCAGTGGCAGAAGGGAAGGTGCTGCTCAGTTTCGCTTCCTCAAGTGGTTGTGAGGACAGCTCAATGACAAAGATGCCAAGATTGTACTTCCCTTATACAAACCTTTGGCATGACTGTACTTAGAATATGGTGTACTGTTCTGGTCACCATGCCAGAAGAAGGAACTTTAAAAGTTGGGAAATGTGCAGAGAAGGGCAACTAAAATGAGGAAGGGGTTGGAGCAACTCCTCTGTGAGGAACAGTGACAACAATTGGGAGTGTTTAGCTTAGAAAAAAGGCAAGTAAGGGGAGACATGATAGAAGTATACAAAATTAGAGAAACTGGAGGGGGAGACATTTTTGTCTCACTCCTTAATACTAGAATATGGGGTCATCCCATGAAGTTGATGGATAGGAGCTTAACAATAGATGAAAGAAAGTACTTCTCCACACAATGTGTTGTTAAAGTAGTGATTGCCACCAATTTCAATGGCTTTAAAGGAGGATTGGACATATTCACGGAGGAGATGGCTATTTCCTCTGCCATCAGAGAAAGTATGCCTGCATACACCAGTTGCTGAGTTTGGCTAAGTGAAATTCCTGTACCATCCTACTTAAGAGATCCTGTGCACAGGTGATTTGCCTCTGTTTGGATGCACTACTGGGCTGGATGGACCATTGGTCTGATCCAGCATGGCTTTTCTTATGCTCTTCTGCCATGCACCACCTCCCTGACCCCCAAACAGGGGTTGAGTTTGCTGTGTGCAGTGAATCCTTGCTGTTTTCCCATGCATTCCTGCCAATGCTGGGAGGACAGGATTTCTTACATACTGTCCCATTTCTTACAAACTGTCCCACTCTCCACGTAGTGTTCACAGAATGGTATCAGTGGCACTTGCAGAAGCTGATGAGAGCTGCACAAAGTGCTACTTGGGCTTTTCTCTGGTTGCATTGGCCAGAGCCAGAGTGGCAACGCTTTTCTACCATCCTTGCCAAGGGGCTTGATTGTTCTGGTGCTTGCTCCCCTCATGGGCTAGGTCCTCTGGGTTCAGATGACAAGCTAACCCACACTGGGTTTACTAAACCCTAGAACAAGTCATGGTTTCTGAGGTGACATGTTGGGTTCAGAGAACAAGCTAACCCACTGTGATTAGATTAGCCTGTTGTGCAAAGCCAATCACTATCCGGGCTAGCTGCTAGTAACAGACCATACTATCTCTTAGCACCCTTGTCTTTCACCCTCCCTGCCCTGCCTCAGAACAACCACCAAGAGCAAAGTTGACTTTTTCTTTGGAACAACAGTACCCTCTGGTGTTGTTAAGTGAGAAAGCAGCAAAGGAAAAGCGTTCTGTAGTCAAACCTAAAGCATACACTTCAAAGTAACTTCTGTTCTAATTTTCTCCCTCCCCATGCTTTCACCACAGTTGTTTTTTCTATGTCCAGTAGAGATGGACCAAGAAGCCAGTGACCAGTATGGTTCCCTCCTCATCAGGTACATTTCTCTAGTTCCCATTGACCTTTTCATGGGATATGCCCTTTTCCTTTACTCTGCAGTTCTCTTGTTGCATTTCTTGATGTGCACCATTACTGGCAGAGTCTGTTATTTTCCAACCCCTTTTATTTAAGATAGGTGCCCTTCCTTGGGGAAGATGTAGAGTGAATGTTGTCTTTAAAAGAAAGAGCTTTGGGGACACCCGATAATTTTGTTCCTTCTGTGTTGTATGTTTCAGTCATCGTTTGTCAGCTGCCTTTTACCATGGATTCCCTGTGGACCATCCTGAAACACTTCAATTTCTGATCCTTCTGAAGTTCACATAACTCAGCTTTGTAGCCCACTTGGTATGTTGCATCACCTTGAAAAAGTTAATGCAAAGAAACTTCATCCTTCTTGCAGAGACGTGTGACCTCTGAAAACTCTCCCTTCCTCAGCAATATGCCAGGAGGCTGCAGAGGATAGGAGCTGACGAGAGACCTTCTTCCCACAAATGTCTTTAGGTTAACATTTCTTAAGGTCAGGGTCCTGTTTTGACTGATCCACCATCCCCCAGCAACTCCCCATGTCCCAACCCACCCTGCAGGAATTCTTGGAGACTGTAGGTGACTAAATGGGGAAGCAACTTTGCAGGAGAGGAATTCATTGTTCTCCCTAAGTTAAATTAATTAGGTTATCACTAGATTGCTTATTGGAAGGGTTCCTGGACATATCACCTCTAGACCAATCTTCAGGCTTGGTAGGATTATCTATGCATATTCCAACTGTCCCTTTAACAGGAACTTAGAAAGAGAGAGGAATTGTCAAGTCCTAAGTTTTTATTCCTTCTGGCATTTTCTGCAAATGATGTTTTGCAGCCTCTTGTGAAGTGAAAACTTCTAGATTTCCTGGCCTCCAGCATAGCAGGGCAGGTTGTTGTCAGTCATGCCTGAAAACCCACTTCTGAGCCTCAACAGCCACATTCACCATGCCCTCAATTATCTGTACAGTCTCCCCAAGTTTTGATTTGAGAATCCCATCACTGTCCATTTAGGGTGGATCTAATCTTCATGCAAAAAATCCTAAAGCAATTTGAATGAGCTCAATCCCTGTGTGAATTTGAATGACAGGACAGTTTATTCAGTTGTTCCAATTCCAACTGCAGGGTCTGAGGAAGGTAAAAAATAAAGGATTCTTGTGCACAGAAGATTCCATATGCACCTATTAGAATACATCTATTCTGTTCCATGGAATTTATTCTTGGGCATGCACAGGATTACAGCCTAAGACTGGAAAGTGCTTTTTGGCTTCAGATTGGGAAAGTGGTCACATAATGCCATTATGCTATCAATTTTGCTAATTATGTATGTATTTGAAGTGGATTTTTACCTCTCCAGCTACACAAACTTTAAAATACACAAGCTCTAGATGGCTGAATTTAGGATCAAACACAATGCTATGTGCAAATGCATGTCATGAGTGCCCCATGGCCCTTTTCAAATTGCTTGGTTTTGAGGAGGGTTTTTGACTCAAGGGTGTGTGTTTAAAGGTTGGAGCAGGGGGTGATTTAATGAACAAATACAGGGTTGCAGGGGTGGGGGGGGGATCCTTCATTTCTTTTCCCACTTGCTGTTTTATTGTTCCTGATTCCCTTCATCATTTGGGGTATCTCTACCCCCACCCAGGGTTTTAAATGTGCCCCAGTAAGTGCACGCTGTCACCAGTGCTTATAGCTGTGAGAGGATTACTCTGTTTACATTACTCCAAGCTCTGCTAGAAACATGACAAACCTGTTGCTACCCATTGTATTTTATGTCCTTTAGGCCCATTATTTACAAGCCTCACTTTTCTGTACTCTGTGGGTACCAACCTAGGATAATGTTTCATGGATCTGATGAACTAGAATTTACTCAATTAATGCATAAGCTACAATCAGTTTTGTACTCTTCAAAGGAGGCTTTTTTTTTGGGGGGGGGGCAACTAGGAGGAAGTTAGCACCTATCATTAAACGGCCTCTTATATTTCCTGGCGTCAATAATGTACAGGTTCAAAGACTGAATAGATGCTATAAAGGTTGGCTTTAAGGATTATAATAGTTTTTAGAGATTGTTAAAAATAGAAGTGTGGATCTCTGGGAGGAGATCCTGAAATAATCTGCAATATTTGAAATGGTTGTTTTTTATTGCATATGTTTCTTTGTTTTAAAGTCAAAGGAGATTTCTTTTGCATCATAATAGATGTTCCATTATCACCATCAACCCTTGATAGACGCCCCCTTCTAAACTCATATCTAAGCTTCCAAGTATTCTAGGGAAAGTAAAACAAGATGCAGCTGCTAAATTTTCTTTATTTTGTCATTTATCTAAAGTATTTTTAATTAGGAAAAATCCTACAATATGACATCACTAGGAAGGAAAGACAAGAAATTGGCTATGAGCAACAGCATATAAGATCAATGTAAACAATAAACAACATCTCTTTTTGTTCAAAATTCTGATTAGATGTCTTAATTATAACAGAGAACATAAATACTTTCTCCTTCAAGACCGATCTGTTTCTTCTGATGAAGTTGTTGTAGATATGTTATCCAACATGCCGGCTTCTGGAAAAATTAATACAAATTAGACTGTGTGAATATAGAAAGAAAGGTAGTGGTAGAGTGAAGGAGAAGGTGCTCCACAACAAATCCAAAAATCTATTATTCTTTCTGAAAATACACCTGATGCAAAGGAAAACATTTTCTCTCCTTTTTTCCGAAAAATTAAGAAAAGCTAGCATTACTACTTTTTGTTGTTATATTCCTTGATTGTACTTAATCTTGCAATTAGGTACGAATGCAAAATGGAGTTATTTACTGGGTCCCATACATACGTTCCATAACGTACATGATAGGACAAGCTCTGAGAGCATTTCTCTTTCTACATGCCCTGGCAGGAGGCTGGCTCATCCACTATATCTAAGTCTGGTGTCTCTAGTATGTTCCGGAAAAGACGTATTTTGCAGAACTGCCTGGCTTTGACTTCAAGGTTGCCCCATTGATAGCACTGCTGTCATTAGGCTTGCAGTTCTAGCCCTTGCCCTTCATCTTGCTGTTATTATTCTCTCAGCATATAAATAATTTTCAGTGTGGAAGGTATTTTAGGGAAATTTTCATATTGCCAGAAACCCTGAATAATTTTTGAAATTGATAAAAACAAATTTATCTTATCTCTCATTTCCTGAAATAATTAGGAAGAGATTCATCACTGGAAAATAATAGTTCAAAAACAAATACACATCTTAGTTTCTTCCTTTGCTCTTCATATTAAATCAAGTGATATCTTCAGACTCAGCTAGGGTTGAAGGAACATTTACTCTTGTTGTAGCAAAATACTAACTATAGCTATTTATTATTAATAATAATAATAATAATAAATTATTACTTACATGTTATTATTCAAAAGCAGTATATTGCATTGTTGGGCCCTCAAAAGGGCACCCAAGGTGGAAGCAAACAATTTTAAAATACAGTACCTATTCTCCTGCTCATTAATCTGTGAAAAGGGCCAAATCATACTTTTCTCGGGAGATATTTGGTTCCAGAGCCAGAGGCCACAAGCAAAATGGTCATGACAAGCTGTGGGCAATGCTAACTGTTTTTATCCTCATCGAAGGTGGCTCTTCTGTAAATCTGATGAGTCTTAATTGTCCATTCAAGATCAAGCCACCCCAAAATAGTGCACATTAAAACAAGGATATTCATTTTATATATTGTGGCTAGAAAAAACCGCTATCCTCTCAGCTCCTGTGAGCATTGTAGCAAAGCTCAGAGGGAAAAGGGAACTGTAAGGGGGTGGGGTAGCAGATGATGAATTTAGTGGGGCAGCATTCCTGCTATTCAAAATGTGCTGGGCTTGGCTCCATTACACCAGTGCCAGGAGTTTCTGCGACACTGCACTCTCCATTCATCAGGGGAAGGACAACTGCATCCAGCTTGGCTATATGTGTAATCTGGGACTGGCTTTACTACCACCCTCTACATTGCTTCTCTGCTCAATCACAATGATTATGGTTTCAGCTAAAGTTTGCCGCTTGGCTGTACTACATCAAAAGGGAAGGCGTTTTCAATTTCAGGATTGCAGGTTAAAACAGAATTTGTGTTTCCTTATGATTTCTATATATGGTTTTGATTCAATGCAATACCTCCCTCTTTGCAGACATGTAAAGGCTCCCTTCCGCCCCTTCTTCCCCCTGTTGCCCCTCAGCGGGTTGTGCCTCCGGAGTCACCCAAGCTGGAGTAACTCATGCATGTGAGCGCAGATGTGTCTAAGCGCAGGTCTCTCAGCACCAGCAGTGGTGCTTATACTGCTGGACACAGGTGTCAGGCTGGCAGCCACAAGGGCAAGGGGAGAGAGAACAAGGTCCACTGGGCTCCTCCTGCACGCTGAACTGTGCCCTTGCTGTCTCCTGAGAAGACAAGGCTTTCCTAGTGCCGACATTGAGAATATTTGGGTAAATAAGATAATATACTCAAGAACAAGTGGAACCTGCAACAAAATGTTGCAGTCTGAAGGTTCTCCATTCAGTACGCTGCTATGCCTTTCTCTCTTCTAGGATATTCTATTCAAGCACCCTCTTCCCGTTACTATTATGTCCAAGGGAATTCTTCCTTTTTTGTTTCTCAGTGGCCCCATTTCTCTCACAGTTCTGTTGGTACTCACCAGCTGAGTTTGTTGTTAGAAGGAGATATATTATCTAACTAAGGATTTAGCAAAACTAAAACTATTTATTTCAAAGTAAAAAGAGAAATCCACTAACCTTTAAGACGCAAGTAGGTCAAAAATTCAATTACGGTACGCATAATATTGTCATCAGTCCATGGTCTTCCAAAGGTACCTGGAAAAATATTAAGCCATTATTTATTTAAATTTATTTATTTAAACTATTTATATCATGTCCTATAGGCAAATCATCTCATTTGCTGAATAAAAGAATTAAGGGGGAAATAACTGCAAAGACAGGGATGGGAAGATTCAGATGGGAAAATATCAATTGAATAGGCAATGTTCTAGCCAGGGCTACTGTGCATTACCAGCCACAATAGAGTGTTTTGGTACTTTCTAGCAGCAGTATAAAGTGTGTGTGTGTGTGTGTGTGTGTGTGTGTGTGTGTGTGTGTATGTATATATATAACTTTGTTAATAATTATACAAAGAGCCTTCCTCTACCTAGCAAATGCATCAAAGAATTCTGCTGTATAAAAAAAATAGATTTGACTTGCATCCAATGGCATTCATCCATCAGTGGAATAAACACCAGATTGTTGCCCATCAATTCTGCTCTGCAAGCTTGGTGGAGCTACTGGAGCAGATGCGTGGGGTACACAGGGATTGTGGGGGAAGAGAAGAAGGGGATATCTTGTAGCTCCTTCTTTTCCATTTTGCAAGGCTCTCTAGAACTTGAGGGTTTTCATCACTTCCCCAAAATACATTTCTGCTCTGATTTGTAAATGAAGAATATAAATCACATTTTGAAATCAACTCTTAAAGAACATCAAACTATTCAAATGACGAATTGTTAAACCTCCCATTGTGATATTCTTCTATCATAAATGCACATGATATTGTCAGTGTTGGTAATAAAAATTGAGAAGCCATATTTAAAGTATCATGAGAGAGACTTAGTGCTTCTAAGAGAGCGGCAGTTCACTTGCTAATCTATTCATAAGGATTTTGTGTATCATTAAAGCAGAGCAGAGCAGAACAAAACAATCTCACCTAACAGTGTTCAGTGTTCCAGGTTTCTAACAGCATTCAGTGGCTGGCAGCTTCTGGGGCTTTTTGCTTGCCTGCCTGCTTGCAAGATTTACCTTCTCCCCAGAAAATCCAAGACTGATAGTTGGACAAGCACAAAAGTGAAAGTGGAGACCCTTTGGCCCCGTTCTGGTCTGTAGCCAGCAAGGACCTTCTTCCTGGGGTGGGGAGCAGGCAGGCACATGTCAGAGCATGAAAGCAGTTTCCCAATTGACATGATTCTCCCCTCTTTGGAAAGGGAGGGAGAAAGTGTGAATCCTCTGGTCCTTGTATATGTGGGCATCAGCATGCCATGTCTGGGTAAGTTAAGCTACATGGCAGAGAGGAGGGGCCCCAGACACCCAGCCTTCTTGCATGTGAACGTCAGCACTGTCAGGTCAGTGCCTGAAGTCTGAACTGAACTTGTATGCTATTATTCACAATCTCGGTAGTTATGAATTCCAATATTTATATTTAAGCCATCAATTACATTTTGTTCTGATTTCCGTTACACAAAGAATCTTGAAGTTATTTTTATCTTTTAAACAAGTAAACATAATGCTGAGTGTTGTTGCTTTTCTCCCCCTCATCATATCAAGTGCCCAAAGTATACATAACATCAGTCCTGACAAGAAATGGAGACACTGAGGGGTCAAGTCATCTGTAGTCTCTGACCAGTGATGGTTTCCTGGTTCCTCTGCTTCTGCTGGATTCTCAGCTGCTGGAGGGACCTCATGATGGTCACCCTCCCACATAGCTGGAGGCTACAACTGACCAGCCTTCTCCACTGAGCTTCTATATGGTCATTTCTTCAGTAGGCACTGCATTTAATATGTCTATTTAAAATCACCATGGGATGTATTTTATTTAGAACAATATTTGAGAGTAGTTTACAGCATTCACAACATCATTTGCAGATGCTTAGAAAACCTCGGAATTAAGTTTTACTGTGCTTAAAAATTCTATATACAAACCAATTATCCACAAAAGGGTTCAGGTCTAGGCTGATACAAAGTCAGGTATTTGTTTTCATGTTTGAAATAGCAATTTTCTTTACCATGGGCATGAAAGTGTATATCAACTCCTGATGAAATTTCAGAAGCTAGGTATGGGGGCTGAAAAAGATTTTGCAGAGTTTGGGGATGGAGTTTTCATCCCCTATATCAAAGGAATTGGACATTTCCAGTATAAGACTCAAGTTTCATTTCAGAGCAGCTCTTAGGTGGTGAAAGGGACTAAAGGCAACAAGGGTAGGGCAAGACCCCATTATATAAGCTTGCGTTGGAGCGTAATGATCTTACTAAGCTTGAAGAGCACAAGTCTTTTTTAAAATTGAGAGGGAGTTTTGTAAATGCCCAGGAAACTACCAGGCAATTAGTGAAAAGTGGTGGGGGATGTGCAGTCCTGGAATATGGAGAAGGGAACTTGCAGAACTTTGTCCACAAAGTCTGCAAGAAGATTGCCAATGATTGCCAATGATTTCTAGCTATGGCAAAGATCTAGCACAGTATATTAAATGGAGTAAATTCTAAGCATGTCTATCTGAAGTGAACTTGAAGAGTCCCAAATGAAGAATGTAAGCAGTACGTAAATTATATATATATATATATATATATATATATATATATTATATATATATATATATATATAAAATTATATATATATATATAATATATAAAATTATATATATATATATATATATATATTTAGAGAGAGAGAGAGAGAGAGAGAGAGTAAATATAGGAATATGTCTGTAATTTTATACAATAGTAAAAATATGCCAGGAAGATTATTTTTAAAAAATGTACATTCATGGTTGAATTACTTTACAGTTATGTTTTTTCTTGTCTTTAAAGGTTTGTGGAGGTGAGAAGAGGGAAACCTAGATCTGGAAATTCCATCCATGCATTTGCAAAACATTGTAAGTATAATGTGATGTAAAGTATAATCTCTTATAACAAAGAGTAACAAAGAAACTGATAATGTATGTGGTATATTCATTAGATTTCTCTCATAAACTGTAAAATATTCATTGGGAGAGAAGAGTTGTCTGAAGCTGGTGAGAGAAAATTGAGTGAAGCCCTTGAAATGGCAAGAGAGACACTCAACAACATATGCAAAACATCCTGTACCATCTGCTACCAGGCACCATCTCTTCTGCCCAAGTGATCAGGAAGATCCAGAATGCTGAATGAAGGGTAAGATTTGACCTTGGCTAATAAAGAGAAGGTGGATGTGCTTTTTCACCTTCATGGGAGTCCAGTGCTTTTTCAGCTAGGTTGATGAACACCTACAGTGTTCACTGTACAGACTGTACAGTGCAGAAGAAGGGATGCTGCAGGACCCAGCACCTAAAACAGGAGCAACACAACCACACACCAGTTGATTGCTGAAATATGCAGACCACCAAAAGCTTGCCACACTCCTTTGCAGAAGTTTTAGAAAGGAGAAACTAGAAGGATCCCAGGTTGTGTTTGGTGGGCAGACACACACACACCAAGTGCATTTGAAGATGATAATTTCCTTACCTGCTTTTAGATTTTCTTCAGGGTGTGTGTCACGTTTACCAGCTAGACCATGTTTGTCACTGAAAACTCTGTCTATCGCATCTGTTAATATAATGGGAGAAGAGAATAAGTTGATTTTGTGAAAATCCATAAATGATTTTGTAAGATCCATAAATGTCACTACACAAGTTAAAAAATTTCTGCTTTGAACAAGAGCGTAATGGACATGTTATGATGGAATGGTGCACAGTGAATGAATGAAAAGAAGCATTTCACTTAAACGGGCGTACCAGCTGTAAACCACTGTGTCTCAGTATAACACTGGCATACAACTGCAGCCACAGCAACACCAGCACAATGTCACATTTTGTGATGTTGTAGTGGTGAAAACTGTTAGTATTGTCTACTCTGGCAACTTCTGTGCTAATTCAGCTGAATGTGGGACCGCATCATTAGCACCTCATTAAAGAAAAGCATCTCCTGTACTTCATAGTGGGTGGTTCATAGCCCTTATTTCTCTATTCCTGAAAAGCTTTAGTGAACATATTTGGATCCACAAGGAACACAGTCTTGGGCCTACTGTGACCAGTTTAGAAAATGTAGTTGTATGATTGCCTTCCTTGGTTTCAAGAAGTAAGAGAGCTTGCTTTGACAGTAAACTACAGCTAGTTTACATGAATAACCTTCAAAAGCCATCTTACATTCCCCAGGTAGCTCTTCTCTCCCCCTTTCACTGGGCATTTCCTTGAAGAGCTGTTCAATACGACCTGAAACAGATTATGGCTATTACCCAACCTTAGAGAAATAGGCACCTGATAATTAGATCCCCTTTGTAGTAAATGGAGATTTGGCTGTTTACACAGTCTCTTCCAGGAGTACGCAACCTTTCTGGGCCCATGGGCACATTTGGCAATTCAGAAACTGACACGCTGCAGATGAAAGCAATGGCTTGTAGCCAACTGCCATTTAGTTCCCTAAAAATGTCTCTGAGCCTCACAGGTGGCCAGGAGAAAATCATGGGGAAAGAAGATGGGAGCAATGTGAGGCCCTCATTTTGCTTTGAAGTGATTCCAGTGATCATTTTGTTAGAGGGAAAAAGGACGGGAGAGGGGATGGGATGGGACGGGACTAGGGCATCTCAGCAGGCACCAAGAAAGGTGTCCATGGGTACACTGGTGCTTACAGGTGCTACATTGCCTACCCCTGGTTTATTCTGTCACTGTTCATTGGAAGCAGCACAAGCAAACAAAACATTCACAGTATATGTCTTAGGGCTGGATCCAGGATCTGCCTTCTGTTGTTGATGGAAGGGCCCTGCTGACAGAAGGTTCCTCTGCCTGAATTTTGGAAATGCACCTCCAGAGTCAACCCATTCAGCAGGGCCCTCTGGCAGCTTTTTCAGGGAGCTGGAGGGCAGTGGGGCGGGGAGTGGATGGGGAAGTCTTCCACCAGACCAATTGCAGGTGCTTACATCTGGATCCAACTCATAAAGTATTCATGATGTTTTACTTTTAATAACTAAAGGCCACCTATCCTTGTGTCCTTTAAAACTTTTTCTACACTGTATGCCATGTGACCATAATTAAAATTCTGAGCAGCTCTAATACAGAGAAGAGGTTGCAGAGGAAATGTTTGAGGTTTATTCACCAAAACTACATTCATTAAATCAATTCAGCTTCAATGTAACTGATGCAACTGAAGGTCATTAAACCCTGTGCAGAGGGGAAGTCTGTTAAGGCTGCAATCTTATGCACGTTTGGACAGAAAACTGTGGGAGTTGTAGACAGGCACGGGATCGCTTAAGTTACTTACCCACACCCACACAATACACCCTGGACTGTCCATTCAACCATTTCCCCCTTCAGAATCCATTGCATTTTATCTGTATTTCAACAACACACTACATTTTCAGAAACAGCCCATGCAGCGAGAGTCACTGAAGAGTTTTGCTTAGGCTAGGAGGTCAGTTTCCTGAAGTTTCAAGTCACATATCATCATGCATTGGAAATACAAACATATCTGACTTATAAGACTTAAGAAGTACCTGGACATGGAATGGATGCTTCCTGCTTACAAATAGCAGGGTGTTTGCTGATGTTATCTAAATACTGATGTGTGCTTTCCATACAAAGAACCACCTTATTCAAAAAATTGAGCTCTGCTTTGAAAATTTGACCCACCCTTTCTGCTTTAACTAGAGCACCAGCTGATGCTGCTGTGGCAGGGCCAGTGCATGACAAAGAACAAAAGCTGTTGTGAGCTGAGCCAGGTTTCCCCCTCTGGCAATCAGTAAAATTGGCATGACTAATGTGCTCGCCAAGGCCAGCCATCATGCTTGCTCTCAACAGCGCTTTCCCCCATTTCATATGTCTGGCAGCTGAATCCTACTACAGCACTGATGAGGGGACAGCATCCTTCACTGCACCCAAGAGAGGCAGGCTTAGCTTCAGGGATTCAGGGCAAGCTGCATGGTACACGTACATTTGCCCTCCAACACCTCAGGGTCACACTGGAGGCAGCAGTGTTACTCTGTCTAATAGAAGGACTGTCCTGTGCTATGGACGCTTCAATCAGTCACCTCTTTCCTAGGGATGGATGAGAACTTTGCTTCTTAAAGTGCTTGATAAGAACTTACCAAAATGCACATTTCTACATGAAAAGGTGGAAAGAATTTGATATTTTAAAAAGTCAGAATGTGGAAAAATCAGAACTAGCAGATTTATCCATTCAGGTCTGGGAGTTTGAATGCTTAGCTCTTAAAAGTGTATGTTTGAATCCCTGTGGATTCAGCCACATTAGTGGCACTAAAAGAGGGATGCACTTTCTTATTTTCTGATAGGGTCTTCACCTGCAAATACCTACATGCTTTTCTCCATGTTTTATCTACTGAATTTGGCCAGTGCAAATGAAAGAGAACATTATTTTGGTTAGTTTAGGATAAGAATTTCCCAACATTTTTTCAAGTTCAGAGAGAATGAATTTTTAAAATGTGCGTGTGGGAGAAAGCAAGACAGACAGATTTGTCCATCCCAAAGAATTGATGGGTTTGAATTGTGGTGCTAGAGAAGACTCCTGAGAGTCCCTTGGACTACAAAGAGATCAAACCAGTCCATCTTAAAGGAAATCAATCCTGACTGCTCTTTAGAAGGTCAAAAATTGAAGATGAAACTCACATTCTGACTTGCAATAATGCGAAAAAGTATTGGATTAAAATACATAAATGGCTTGAGGAAATGCTACAAAAATCCCTAGCTTTTAAACCTGAAGTCTTATTAGGCATTATACCTGTTGATATTAGTAAACAAGAAATGTACTTGACTTTACATGTAATTACTGTGGCGAGGATTGCATTTGCTCAGCACCGGAAAAGTGAAGAACCACCCACTGACGAACTGATCCTAAAAAAAATCTTGGACTGTGCAGAAATGGATAGATTGACTTTGTCATTGAAGGAGAAAGAAGATACTGATTTCTGTCAAACTTGGGACTCTTTTTATCATTGGCTAGAGAAACAGGAATTCATATAGATTTAAATATGTTTCTAAGTTATCACAAATGGAAAAAAATGTGGGGCTGACCCGACAGGTCTGCTGTTTCTGATGATTGGTGTTGTTTTTAGTTTTTCTTTGTTGTAGGGTTATTTTGAATAATTTTTTTAAAAAGATGAAACTCAAATTCTTTGGCCATCTAATGAGAAGGAACAACTCACTGGAGAAGACCCTGATGCTAGGAACGATTGATGGCAAAAGTAGAAGGGGATGGCAGAGATTGAGGTGGCTAGGTGGAGTCACTGTGGCAGTGGGTGTGAGCTTGGGTGGACTCCAAGGGATGGTGGAGGACAGGAGAGCCTGGAGAAATGTCCACGGGGTTGTGATGGGTCGGGCACGACTGCGACCAAACAACAACAATATATACATCCCAGCAAATAGCTATTGATGCTGTCATTGTTTCTACTGTTCCATGAATGGAAAAGTAACTCTCTCTGTAAATAGAGTTCATAGTAGCCAACATTGCTAGCAGAACTTCCCTAGATAGTTCGCCAGACATTTCTCTGTGAACACTGCTGGGGCCTTGCTGCTGCTGCGGCTATTCCTTCTCTGTGCAGATGAAAAGGTTGCCATTTTTGCCTTACGCTTTCCTTGGAACTGTAGGGCAGACTTCTTGCTGAAGCCAAGGAATGAAACTTGGTCACGCTCACTTCTGTTTACTCATCCATGCAGAAGTGAAGCTACATCAACTGTGTACTTCAAGTGATGTTTGCAGATGACATTGACAAGCTGTCTCCTTTTGCCTGTGTAGCAAGTGGAGCTGCAAGTTTTGGGTTAAAAATATGAGCTGGATAGATTCCTTGAAGAACTTGTAAAACTATTGTTTTACATTCATAGTTTTAACTTTAGGAATACCATTGCAGAGGGGTGGCATTTCAGAACTGGTATTTGTGGACAAGGGTTAAGTAAAGGAGAGGGGTCATCACAAGTCATACCTCTAAACCAGAGGAGACAATACAGACTTTTACCCATTCACACCTGGAAGGACTGATGTTTAATTGTGATGGCTTGTTTGTTTAATGCATAGCATTGCTGTAGAACTGAAAGATGTGCTCTCAGATAAAATTGGTTAACTCTCATAGTTCAAGTATGATAATAGAACAATTGCTCCTTCTAGCGCGACACTGTAAGTAGGTTAAAATAAACATGAGAGGGCAGCAAGGGAGTGATTTAGTACAGTCCTCCCTCAAAGCTTAGTGTAAGAGCAAGCATGGGATATTGTGTGTATTATTCATGTCTAAGACACTTCAACCTATAGGCCAAGAGCTTTGGAAACCTTAAGCTGCTTATTATCTGTTATTCCAGATTGATTTCAAGTAATATAAAACATTTGGACTCACGTGGGCCAAGCAGATAACCAGCACTATTCATAGTCCATCCCCTTTTCTCTTTAGCCTTACAGAAGGGAAAATTGTGAGAAGATTATTTTTTACACGTTACACAGCATCTCTTTTAAAAGACAGAAACACCAGCTTGGGGAAAAGACAGATGATTTAGAGCAACAATTTCTAAGAGGCTGATCATATAATCCAATAAAACAGCCACATCAATCCTAAATCTACTTACTTGGAAAATAAGTTTAATCCATCCTCCCATCAATAATGTTCAGAACAGACCCACTAAAACCAATGGGACTTAAATTAGTCATGACCAACTTATTATATTGATTTCAATGATTCTACTCTAATGGCTAGTCTAGATCTAATTCCGTATTATAGTGTCATTTGAATTCACATGCTTGGATTTCAGTGAATTTCAGTGCCCTATCTAATAATGCTTAAAAAACATTTTTTTTATCAATATGTCATTTCAGGACACTCAGAAGTAGATTCCACTGGTTTTCAGCAGTAATTTAACATCTGAGTACCAAGCATCTCATATTGTTTGCTATTAAACTGTCAAAAGATTTACGCATTTTCATTTGAGTTCCACTGCAGTTATTCAACAAATCACTTGCTCCTTCCCAGCTGGACAAGGTAACATGTTGGCATTTTTAGAGATTTGCTTAGAAGCAAATATGACAAAACTGAGGCTGTCATACTTTGGAGATATCATGAGAAGGGAAGATTCACTGGAAAAGACAATCACGTTAGGTAAAGTCAAGCGCAGAAACTGAAAGGCAAGATTAAATATGGGATGGATTGACTCCATATGCTAAGAAAGCCACAGTTTTGAACTTGGAAGAGCTGAATGGCGTTGTCATGGCCAGGGCACTTCGGAGAGCTTTCATTCACAGGGTCGCCATAAGTCGGAGACGACTTGATAGCATCTAACAACAACGTCGTCGCAGTGTGTTCTCAGGAATCCCCCATTTGCTTTGCCACGATTCACACTGAGATTTGCATCCTAAGTTTGAAACCCCGAGTCTGAGCACGCGAGCTTCTGATTGGTGCACTCTAGGAAGCATGCGAAAATCTGAAGGCGATACTTACGGATAAGACTAGCCCAAACGTCTCTGAGAGGGCAGCGCAAAAGATTAAGCAGACCAACAGGAGACCAGTACACCTGTGCATCTGAAAGAAGACAAACCCGTTTCATTCCCAAGCTTTCCCGGGGCCTGAGGGCCCTTCTTCCCTTCCCGGTGTCCCCATCCCAGGAAAAAATGCAAGAGAGCATTCTCTGTAGCAACGACCAGATCTTAGTTGCGAAACAAAGAGGCAGAGATCGGAGTTTCTGGGGCTTTTCTTCGCCCCTCACCCTTGATTCCTCTTCCTTACCTCCTTCCTTCCTTCCTCTGCTTCTTTTACACAGTAAACGTGTAAGAGAGTTCTTGTTCTTGAAAGTTAACCCGTACTCCAAAAGTTGTCGCCAGTGAAGGAAACGCGCAGATACGTGAAAGGGAAATTACCTTGCAGCGGGAGGTAATGCCCTGCTCTGAGAGTCGGTGGGTTGAGTTGGAGCGCAGCTGGCAACAGGGTAGGGCACTTTTCCCCGAGCTTCTGTGGGCTGGCTGATCTGCTCAGGGAGTCTCCCCTCACTGCATGGCTCCTGCCTGCGGGGAGGAAGTGACCGTGAGATGGAGTATCGTGGGGGGCTGTGGGAGGGAGGCGCGCGGGGAGAGGGGGAGAGAGAGAGAGAGAGAGGGAAGGAGGGATGGTCTAAGTGATACCCAAGCCTGCCTTTTCTCAGCTATTTATGAGCTGCGGTCCAACCCGGCACGAGCTGCTTGTCACTCCCCGGGGAGAATCAAGAGCCGCCCACACCCCTTGGCTATTTCCCCTTGCCGAAGCAGTGCATTAGGAAGGGCAAAAAATTACAGCAATCCAATTAGAGGCATTTGGAGGCACGATGTAGGCTGGAGATGGATAACAGCCTGGCCAATTACCTTTCATTACTCCTGGGTTGGTCACCGTGGCTGAGCAGTGAAAAGAGCTCTGCGGAGCGAGCCTGGCCTCAGGCTCTTTCTTCCTGCGGCAACTTCACAAGTTCTTTGTTGTTGTTTGAGAAGGAGGCGGCGGCGACGAAAATTGAATAGAGCTTCTTCGACGGAGGAGCAGGCACCGAGGTCGAACGAGATGGGAAAGGAGTTTTCATATGATGATGATTATTACACTCCTTCATAACATTCAGAGGCTTGTCAATTACATTTGTTATTGCATCAGGCATAGTGAGGGTTTTCAGCCTCTTCTCTCTGAGTTCCAGCTATCTATCTATGCACGCATCTATCTATCTTTCACAGCTTCCAGATAATACGGCTTTCCTTTGAAATCTCTTTGAATCAGCGAAGAATATAGCACTTTACTTTCTTTTCCATTTTCAAGACAAACTTTCATTGCTGTTTTTGAGTAGAATATAAATTGACCATATTGCCCAATATCATAAGCATAAGGCATCAGTTTTCTTTGGAGCAGGGACTACTGGGAACTTAAGGGATCTTTCAAATGATGGGCTTGTTTATGCATGTACTGGTAGAACAGGGATTTTGGAGTACACCAGCAAGCAGCGAGGGTCAGTTCCAATGGAGCATCAGTGGCAGCCTTGATTCCAAAGACAACTTGACACACACTCCCAGCCTCAGATGTGTCCTAGATACACTTGTGGAGAAACCGACTGACTTCTGAATAAACGTGCTTTGAATTGCCATGATAGTCACTCTGGGCAAAATTAGCGCAATCATGTCAGATGGCTGTGGCTAGCTATATGCAAACCAAAGAATTCTTCCTTCAGCTGCCTATGTCCACATGTATAATTTGCTTCTTATGTTCAGTCATTTTATGCCTTTTATCACCTTTTAAGAGATAATAAGTGCATACACACAGCCACAAACACTTGCATCTATACCTGCAGACATCCCTGTTTACCCATACACCTCCAGTAGTTGAATTATCAAAATGAATTCCAAACCAAAATATGGTAATGTAAAAAGCCAGAAGAGCTCACTCAGCTTGATCACTAATGTGACTGATTATCTAAAATCGAAGTTTAGGGCTTAAGCAGTGCAAGGCCAAAGACCTCTGGCTATGAAATCTAAAACACACACTTTTCCACACAGTCCTATAAAACTACCTGTTGAGTTTTACCCTTTAAAACTTCTTAAAATAAAGAAATAAAAGTTATTGACCCTATTGAAACTGCCTCCAAAAAATAACCTTATAACACAAGAGCTTCAGTTATTTTTTGGAGGCAGTTTCAATGGGGTCAGTAACTTTTATTTTCTTTATTTTAAAAGGACAATATGTCGTGTCCTGAATTCTAGGAGCATTACAATAAATCTATCTTAATTTTGGTTCTCATTAGCTCAGCTCATTTTCTTTTTTACTATAAAAAATTCTGGAACAATGTGTATTTTAACCCATTACCTGAAACTGGGTGATTTCTTTATTTCTAAATCTAAACTATTTTTTGTTACCTGGGTAGACAGGGAAAGTTCTGTTTTATTACCTCAGTCCAGCATTTTTGCACTTCATGTTTAGAGCCCCTCAACCTATGTTGTCAGGATAGAAGACATTAAGTCATTTTCTAGTCCTTCACTAATGGATGCACATTGTTATCTCAATTCTGCTTGTCAAGAATAGTATTAGTCCTTTAAAAAAATTCATATGGGAATGACATGTCTAGATGTGCAGGCAAATAATTTATAGCCAGCGTTGTGCATTCTTTTTCAGTGTTAGTATTCAAATGAGTCAATTGTCCAGCTAAAAATGCAGCTCAATCACCGGGTTGACATCCTGGTACATTCACTTCTTATAGATGCTTACCATGAAAAACAAATTCAGGAAGTTGTTCTGAAATGGCATTTTGTATGTGTCACAAATTCTTTCTCCCAATAATAGCTTTGATTGAGTCAGGTGATGTGCTTCACCCTCAACCACTGGTCCCCCAGAAAAGACTCCCCCCACCATGTTTCCTTCCCTTTCTCTCTAGGAAGAAATTACTAGTTGGCCACTTCCGCCTTTGGACTAATATCGACAGCTCCTTAAGTTGCACAGAAATTCTGTTCTCCTCTCCATCCCCTTGACTAGACATTGAAGAGTAGTTTCTTGCTCATAAACTACCTACAATTTCTGCTCCTGGATAAAGAAACATTTGCAGGCCCAGCATTTATAGTACTGCATTATCCCCCTTCACGGTTTGCTGATAGGAAGACATGACTTTTGTAAACCTAGGCTGCTGCTCCCTTACATTTAGCTCCTCAACCCATTCCCTTCAATCTGAGATGGATGCTGATACTGACTGGAAGAGTTTTATCTATTTGTGGACAGAGCTGGGTTCCTATAGAGGAGGAAGTAGGTGGGTTAGCACTTTTTGCCAATTCCCCTTTCCTCTGCAGTCCCCAGCACCACCTCCCATGCTGTGTAGGGAATTTCCCAATCCTTTGGAAGAGTCTTCAGTATACATAAAGGGGGAAAGAGAAAGTGGATAAAATCAGTATCTTGCTCGTTTCCTCTGTGTGGAGCTCTGCAGAATAAAAGTTTAGACCCAACCTCCTCTGGTTTTTTTGCTTGGAGAGAGCACTTTCCAACTTCACAGATAATCTCAACCTTCTGTTGGCATCTCTCTGTGACTTGTAGTTGTGACTTCAAACATCATTTTATCAACCTTTGGCTTTGAGACAAGAGCATATTGCATTATGATCAACTGCTAAAAAATGGCTACTATATAATAAAGATTGATTGTTACAAATAGTTCTACATGTGAATGACCAGTAGGGCTAGCTGCAAATCTAAAAATCAAAGGGAGCCCCAAACACAAGTACTAGGTTATTTAATTGAACTTAGAGATTTATGAGTGTCCTGTGCAAAGCAAGAGGAAAGGCAAGGGAGATCTTCGCCTTCCTGTCCCCTTGCCCTGCATTTTGTGCTAGATGGACTTTTTTGCTTGGCAAGTACTTGGACGCAGAGGGAAGGAGGGTGGAGAGGCCTCAGAATGGCCTGTGGCCTCCCCAGCCTCCTTCCCTCCCTGGCCACCAGAATGCTGCTTCTCCAAGGTCACCTTCCTGACTGTGGAGAGCAGTCAGCATTGTTCTTTCCATGCCAAGTTGTGGCCTCCTGAGATGCTGTCCAGGTACCATAAAACTTCCCCTAATGATGCACATGCAGGTACATGCACAATGACATGATGCAGTAGACCTGGCAAGTTCTTGCTTCTCTTTGAAGTCCTTTGAAACTCTCTTCATCCACATTACTGAGATTTCCTGGAACCTTTGTGTCACCTCATGATTGTCCTTCCATTTAGGGATTTCATCAAGGGTGCATTAGACATTTTGGTGATAGCAGTTGTACCTGACACTAAGATGATGCAGGCCTGCCATCTGCAGTCTTCTAATGCTCTGTGTTTTTTTGGATGTGATATTTATTCCACATATCATCCACAACAGCTACAGAGGCTGCCTTCATCTTATTTCATTTTGTCACATTGTGAGAACAATTGTGATTTTTTTTAATCAAGCAAGAGCAGAGGAAAATTGATGGAAAAAAACATGAAAATGGATGGTAATAAGGGGAGGCTCATTTTCTTCATCTTTCCAAAACCTTTGCCATTGTTTTCTCATTATCCAATCTTGTTATTCTTGCCCAGTACAGTGGGGGGAAATGTGGATTGCCTAACATCTGCGGATCATTTGCCCATTTTGTACCTGTAACACAGTGTCAAACTGAGCTGAATAGTAAAATATCTCTTGAATAAAGGCCTATTTTCTCTTTCAAGTTATAGGACTATTCACTAATCATTTTCAACCACTATGAAAATGACTTTCTTCTGTGTCGATTATTTAACAATACATCCTTACTGTACCCTGTAAAATTCAAATTGTTCTTTGCCTATTATTTAGCAATAAATCAGTGCTCAATTTCAAGCAACAACTTTAAAAATATTCTTAATAAAATGTCATTTATATAAAAGCTATAATACTTTCAAGGAACTATTATAAATAATACAACTGGATGAAGATGACTTATAAATTCAGTTCTTAACTTAACTCACTTAACTCAAGAGCTTGAAACATATTAAAATATATTCAAACATCTGAAACATATTCTTAAATATATTCACCATGATGATCCAGTCAGTATAT